TGCCAAGGAATTCGTGGAGGCGCGGTCTGGGTTGCACGGCCTGATTGCCGAAGCCGCCGAGAAGGGAAGCCACTACGCCATGCGCATGTACAGCGATAAGGACCCGAAGCGCGTGCTGCTCACGTCCATGCCCGCGAGGATGGTTCTCTTTACCCTCCTACCTGCTGCTACTGCTGAGGCTTCTCTTCCTCCTCCTCCTGCCCCTCCTCCTGCCCCTCCTCCTCCCTCCTCCTCCTCCTCTCCCGCTTCCTCCTCCTCCTCCTCTCCTACTACCTCTGTCTCCTCCTCCCCCTCTCCTCCTCCTCCTCCTCTGTGCCCCTCTCGTGCCCTCCTCCTCCCTCCCTCCTCCGACTCCTGCTCCTCCCTCTCCTTCATCCGTCCTACTTCTTCTCCTCCTCCTCCTCCTCCTCCGCCTCCCCCACCCTGGTCCACTTTCCCTCCTCCTCCTTCGCCCTCCTCCTGTTTACTCCCACTCCTCTTCCCCGTTCTCCCTCCCTCATCTCCTTCCTCACTTCCTCAATCCCCCGGTAAGTTTTGCTGCCGCGCGGTATCCTGACCCCGAAGGTTTCCTGGATGTCCCCAGGGGCTTCTGAAGACTTTTGGGAACCTCCGGGGGCTTTGTCGAGCCGAAGCGATCCAGGAGGACACCATGGCCCGCAACTGGGCGAACGCGCCCACCGTGACAATATCGCGATGCCTGGATCTCAGGGCTAGGGCGCCAGAACGTAGACACCCGACGTCGTGATTGTTTCCCAACGCCGCTCTCCAGAGGTCGGGACATCTTCCCAGGTACTGGCTTTTCATCCCGAGCTGCTCCTTTGACGGCCTCTGGGGGCCCGGTAAGGGCCCCCAGAGGCCGAAGCCGCCAACAGCCACTCCTGCCGTTTTCTGTTTCTCACTGCGCGAGAAGGCCAGGGACCCTCGGGCTGCGTCCGACCCTCGTCCGTAGCCGCTGCGGCTCAGGTTCGCGGCAGCGCGGCGGCAGAGCGCCCCCCTTGCGCCGAGCGCCGCCCCGCCTCCGCGGGCTCCTCCGCCCAGGCCGCCAGCCGGGCCGCTGCCCACCGCCCCCCCATGGCCCACGCCGGCGTCGACGAGAGGCCGCCATGAAGAAGGGGGGTCCTGAGTTCAGCTGGCTCAAAGATGGGGGTCCTGAGGGATGGGGTCCCGAGGGCGAGGTGTCCCAAACAGTGTAAAGCCTCCCCTGTCATGACGAACGAACAACACACCCATACCCATAGGGAGGTCGTTGGGAGGAGGACTGGCTATGGGTATGGGTGCGGGTTGTCGGACCCTGGAGAACGCTCCCGTTCGAGCGGGGACCCCCATCCGACAACACGCACCCATAGCCCTCTCCGACCCCCCTATGTGTATGGGTGTGTGTTGTTGGTTCGTCACTGTCACACGTTTGGATCAGGACCCTTCTTCCCTCATGCCGAAGAGGGTGTTTCAGGCGTTCGACCGCGACGGCGACGGCCACCGGGGGACGCCAACTCTCCACCCGCGCCCGGCCTGGCCGGGCCAATCTCGGGACCCAGGACAGGCGTGCATGCCCTCCTGGCCAGCACGGACGGCACAGCTACACACATCTGCACACACACACACAGAGACACAGACACACAGACACACAGACACACACAGAGACACACACAGACACACAGACACAGAGACACACAGAGACACACAGAGACACACAGAGACACACAGAGACACACAGAGACACACAGAGACACACACACACAGAGACACACAGAGACACACAGAGACACACAGAGACACACAGAGACACACAGAGACACACAGAGACACGCAGAGACACACAGAGACACACAGAGACACACAGAGACACACAGAGACACACAGAGACACACAGAGACACACAGAGACACACAGAGACACACAGAGACACACAGAGACACACAGAGACACACAGAGACACACAGACACACAGAGACACACAGAGACACACAGAGACACACAGGGACACACAGAGACACACAGAGACACACAGAGACACACAGAGACACACAGAGACACACAGAGACACACAGAGACACACAGAGACACACAGAGACACACAGAGACACACAGAGACACACAGAGACACAGAGACACACAGAGACACACAGAGACACACAGAGACACACAGAGACACACAGAGACACACAGAGACACACAGAGACACACAGAGACACACAGAGACACACAAGACACACACAGACACACACAGACACACACAGACACACAGAGACACACACAGACACACAGAGACACACAGAGACACACAGAGACACACAGAGACACACAGAGACACACAGAGACACACAGAGACACACACAGACACACACAGACACACACAGACACACACAGACACACACAGACACACACAGACACACACAGACACACACAGACACACACACCGACACACACACAGACACACACACAGACACACACACAGACACACACACAGACACACACACAGACACAAACAGACACACACAGACACACAGACACACACACAGACACACACACAGACACACACAGACACACACAGACACACACAGACACACACAGACACACACAGACACACACAGACACACACCGACACACACAGACACACACAGACACACACAGACACACACAGACACACACAGACACACACAGACACACACAGACACACACAGACACACACAGACACACACAGACACACACAGACACACACAGACATACAAAGACACACAAAGACACACACAGACACACACAGACACACACAGACACACACAGACACACACAGACACACACAGACACACACAGACACACACAGACACACACATACACACACAGACACACACAGACACACACACAGACACACAGAGACACACAGAGGCACACAGAGACACACAGAGACAAACACCGACACACACATACACACACAGACACACACACAGGACACACACATACACACACAGGACACCACAGACACACACGACACACACAGACACCACAGACACACACAGACAACACCAGACACACACATGACACACACCACAGCCACACACACAGACACAACACCGAGACACACACACAGACACACACACACACAGACACACACACACAGACACACACACAGACACACACACACACGCAGACACACACAGACACACGCAGACACACACAGACACACACAGAAACACACACAGACACACAAAGACACAGACACACAGACACAGACACACCGACACACGCACAAACACACACAGACACACACAGACACACACAGAAACACACACACACAGACACACACACACGCAGACACACACACGCAGACACACACACAGACACACACAAAGACACCACACACAGACACACACACAGACAACAGACACACAGACACACACAGACACACACAGACACACACACCAGGGACAACAGAGCACACACCAGGGACACACAGAGGACACACACACAGACACACACAGACACACACACAGACACACACAGACACACACAGACACACACAGACACACACAGACACACACAGACACACACAGACACACACAGAGACACACAGAGACACACAGAGACAAACACAGACACACACAGGCACACACACAGACACACACACACAGACACACACACAGACACACACACAGACACACACACAGACACACACAGACACACACAGACACACACAGACACACACAGACACACACAGACACACACAGACACACACAGACACACACAGACACACACAGACACACACAGACACACACAGACACACACAGACACACACAGACACACACAGACACACACAGACACACACAGACACACACAGACACACACAGACACACACAGACACACACAGACACACACAGACACACACAGACACACACAGACACACACAGACACACACAGACACACACAGACACACACAGACACACACAGACACACACAGACACACACAGACACACACAGACACACACAGACACACACAGACACACACACAGACACACACACAGACACACACACAGACACACACACACAGACACACACACAGAGACAGACACACACAGACACACACAGACACACACAGACACACACACACAGACACACACAGACACACACAGACACACACACAAACACGTCTAGACACACAGCTACACACAACTACACTCACACACACACACACACTTCTAGACACACTTCTAGACACACATCTACACACATCTACACACGCATCTACACACGCATCTACACACGCGCACACTTGTGGGCGCCGCGGCCAGGCGCGCGGCGGCGCGGCGTAGAGCGCAGGGCGGAGAGACGCGGCGCGGCCGGCCCGGGTCACGCGGCGACGGGGGCACCAGATCCGCCCATGTATAGGGGACCGGCAGCATCCCCTGCGGGGGGGCGGGCGCGAGGGGAGCGGCGGGGACGGGGAGGCGGGGAGGAGACGGGGAGGCCGGGGGGGGAGACGTACACACTGTTCATGTCTGATTCTTCGAGCGTTCTTTGATTTTTTCGTGGGCCCAGATCCTTTCATTTCTGATTCTTCTATGCTGGGCCTCTTCCTGGCCACCAGGGGGCCAGGAACCATGGGAAACGAGCACAATCAGAAATGGGCACGACTAGACATGACCGACGTGTTTCTACACACACAAACACGCACGCACACCGATCCCGGGCCCGGGACCGGCGCGGCCAGGGCCAGAGGCGGGCGCGTGGCAGTCGGCGCCGCCCCGTGACCAGGCACGCTCTCGCAGCGCGACCTGGAGCTGGCCATCGGCGCGGTCGGCGCGGAGGTTCGAGGGCCACATGCGAACCCTACCCGGGCCCCTACCCCCCACGATTTCTGAGGGGGAGGTTGGGGTTCACTTCGCTCGGGAGCTCCCCGAGCGAAGTGAACCCCACCCTGCCCCTCAGAAATCGTGGGGGGGTGGGGGCTGAAGCTCGCTGAGGGGCAGCGAACGCGATCTGTGTTTCTGGGGCGACGGGGGAGAGGGCAATGCTTTTGTAGGGCAAGAGCAAGCATGAGCAGCCCAATCGTGGGCAAGAGCAAACCTGGAATCAGAGCCTCTCGCGAAGGGCGGCGGCAAGGACTGCTGTTGACCGATCAAGCGCGCCCGCCGAGCGTGCGGGGATCTGGCCCTGGAAAAAACGCTGCCCCCCCCAGCGACCTTCAAGGTAGGGGGGGTCGCATGTGGCCCCCCAGAGGTGCAGGCCGAGACGCTCGACCTGCTCGTGGGCGAGGCGGGTGGCCTGAGCCTCGAGGGCCTGCGCGGTGCTCGGGCTGCCGCCAGATGCGGGGCGCCTGGAGGAGGGGGAGGAGGAGGAGGAGGAGGAGGAGGAGGAGGAGGAGGAGGAGGAGGAGGAGGAGGAGGAGGAGGAGGAGGAGGAGGCGCAGGAGGGGCCTGGCCTCTCGCGCCATGCCGGAGCCCCCCATGGGGCCCTTCCGGGCTTAGCTGATGCTGAAAGCGCGTCTTCGTTGTCTGCACGCTTTTCAATTTTGGGGGTGGGGGGTATGTTCTTTTGGGTGGGTGGGCGGGGGGGGGGGCAGGTCTGTTCTCCGTTGTCTTCAGTTTTTCGGTTTTCGGCCCACCTAAACGGGGAAACAACGGCGACAGCCCAGAACGGAACACAGACCGGCAGGACACATCGGAACCGAACCGACAACGGCGCGAACGAGAATCCCAGAGCGGCAGACAGCTTGACCCCACAGCGGAAAAGCAAGAACACGCCGACCTTGAGAACGGGGGAGACGCCGCCCCCAGCGCCTTCAACATCATCTAAGCTCCTGGACCTTGGAAGGGCTGCTCTGGAGGCCACCCCATGGGCCTCCCCGGGAGTCCTGGGCCCCCCCTGGGCCTGGGACGCTTCTTCGGGCAGGGCAGGGACGAGGAGAAACCCGATCCAGAGCGTTCCGGAGTGTGCTCGGAGCGCTCCGGAGCGCTTCGAGGAGGCCGCGGCGCCCGAGACATCCCCCAGAGCCGCCGGATCTCAGAGGCTCTCGATGTATCCTCGTCCGATGTTGTCCTCCTCCTGGCTTCGTCCTGGGAGCTTCTGTAGGGGAACAAAAGGTGGCATAAACGAACAACAAATGACATAAACATAAAAACTCGGAGGTCCGCGCGGATCTCCGAGTTTTAATGTTGATGCCAGGTTTTGTTCCCCTATTCTGGCAGCACCCGAGGTGTGGTCGACGACCCCTCCGCCGGCCGCGGGGGCGAGGACCTGCGCAGGGGGCGCCGTGCCTGCGCCACCGCCGTGCCTGCGCCGTGGCGCCCGCCATCCCGGGGGCCCCCAGGGCGGCGCAGAGCTCCTCCCTATGAACTCGGGCCTGTCCCCCCTCCTCCTCCTCCTCCTCCTCCTCCTCCTCCTCCTCCTCCTCGCCTCCTCCCCCACCCTAAGCTCCTCCCTGGATGAGGCACCTTCCAAAAGAGTCAAAGAATTGTCAGGGGGCGATTCTTGGACCAGTCTGGGGTGTGTTTTTTGTCTGTGTTTTGGTTTGGTGCCCCGTATTCGCCTGGAGGAGGACACGCCCGACCTAACCCTGGCATCCTCGCGCGGGAACAGGGCGAAGAACGGTAGAAAACACGCTTCTTCGCCGCCGGGAGCGCCTGTCCCAGGGCGGCTGGAAAATCTATATCTATATCTATATCACTCTTTATATATATACACATATATATATATATATATGTTTATGTTTACATAAATACATGTATATGTGTGTGTGTGTGTGTGTGTGTGTGTGTGCACACCCCTACGGTGGCACGTCAGGGTATACACTTTCCAGCCGCGCTGGGACAGGCGCCCCTGGCGACGGAGCAGTCTGTGTTGTACCCTCCCGCCAAAGAGTCGCGACGCGAGGCCGTCGGCCGTTTGTCAGGAGGAAAAGAAGCACACAGACACAATGAATCGTCCATTCCCCAGAAATGATGGGAAAGTATGGGAAATGGGGGGGAAGACAAAAAACCCGAAGATAGGGGGAAATATTGATCATCCTTTTATTTGTGTGTATTTGTTTGTGTGTCCCAGGGCCCCTTCAGTTTGCTGCCCCTTGGGGGGGCCCTCGCCGGCGCCCGGCGCCGTCAGAGAGCGGCTCGCGGGAAGGGGGCGCTGGCCCCGAGGAGGTGCGGCCCAGACCTCCTCTGGGCGGCGGCGCGCCCAGGGGGGAAGGCTTGAGTCGGGCCTGTCCCCCCACAGGGAGATTTTCGACGAAGAATGAAACATACCCCCAACATTACGCAGAAAAGCATGCAAATATAGTCTGGGGACTATTTTTCGTTTTTTGTTGTTAAACCAAAAATTGAGTCGGGCGTGTCCCCCCTACAGGGGGATTTTTGACGAGAGAAGCAAATACCCCCCAAATGCTCCAAAAATACCCCCAAAAGGTCAACACATATTCAAAACATAGTCCCCATATTATTTTTAGAATATGTTTTGATTATTTTTGGGGTATTCTTTATTTTTCGTCGAAAATCCCCCTGTAGGGGGACAGGCCCGACTTAAACTTCAAAAGAAGCCTGGCACCCGTGTCATCGGTGACTGCGGGAAGAGAGAGTTCGGCGACGTTGCCAAGGGGCGGCCGCCAGGCAGGAGCAAGTTGTCTCAGGAGCAATGAGCAGAGAAGCTGCTGAAGTGATATGCAGACATGGCAGAGCCCGCAGAGAAGAACAAAGATCTCTCGCCTTTGAAACGCTCCCTGAGGCTTTTGCGAAGGCAGGGACGGCTTCTCAGAAGGCGGGAGGGCTTCTGAGAAGCACCGCCGCCTTCTGAGAAGGCTTGCCCCCTCTCATTGGGGGAAGGAGAAGCGACACCACCGCCACCAGGGGAGCACCTCCAGCGAGGAGGTCCTCGATGCCTCCGCGAGCTGGGGATTTGGGGGTGTCTCGAGCGAGAGGGAGGGGACCACACCACCAGGGTGACCCCCCTGGCTCCTCCCGCTGGTGGTCCTGGTTGTGGTGGTGGTGTCGCTTTTCCTTGTTCCTGCAGTGGGGGCGTTCGTTAAGGAATGTGATGTGGAGGCTTCCTAGGCCCTGGACGATTGCTTATCTGATGAGGGCGGCGGTGCTCGTGGTCTTGAGGGACGTTCTTCTGGCCTGGGTCCGACTTTACATTCAGGGCCCTGAGATGAAGGACCGCTTTGGGCTCAGGAGGGGTGCTGGGCTCCGGGCCGCTTTCGGGCGCTGGGTTTCCGGCCGTTCGGGGCCGAGCGACCCTCGCGGTGACAGCAGCGCCGACGTCATCGCGGCGTCGGCCTGCCGTGCGCTCGAGGCCCCGAGGCAGAGGGCCGCTCTGGGCTCAGGCTGGGCGCCGGGGGTCGGGCCGTTCCGCAGACCTGCAGGTCGGGCAATGTGTGCTCGTGGCCGAGGCTGGCCGCGGTCACATCAACAAGCCCGTTCGTGCCGTCTTCGGCCCTCTTCGCGCCACACCCCTCAGAAATCTTAATAGCATCCTGAACCCTAAGCCCGAAGCCCTGACCCCTTAACCCAAAACCCCAAACCCCAAACCCTAAACCCTACACCCATCAAGCATCCTTCAGCGTCAGCTGGCGTGGGCTCCAGATCTGGTGCAACAGGATTCAAGAATCTGGGCTGGACCCTTGGCCTGATCCTGGAGCTCCTCTTCTGCGCAGAGCCTTCGCAGATCCGGATCCGGACCACTGGTTGAGAGCACGTTCAGAGCGGAGTCCATCTTCTTAGCCTCAAGCTGTCTTAACCCTAAGCAGGGGTGTGCACCATGAAAGCCCCGGGCCCAGCTCGGTGGTGGTGTGCAGGTGACTTCTGCGTAAAAGGATCTCCTCGCCCTCGCGTTCGACCTCTGCGGGGGGCGGGACGCCAACGGGGCCATTGGTCGTGACGCCCTCGGCGCGGGCCTCCGGAAGCTCGGCCTGGGGTGCACGGAGGAGGAGGTGCTGGAGCTGATGAAGGATCCCAGGAGGCGGAGGAGGAGGAGGAGGAGAAGGAGGCGCAGGAGCAGGATAAGCAGGAGCAGGAGGACCAATGCAAATCCGAAACGTATCAACGATGTTCGAATCAACCCTGGCTTCAGGTTCCCTCTACCTAGTTCCCCATAAGAATTCATTTTCGTTGCTGATGGTTCCGCGTTGGAAGACAACGGTTTGAGAACCCTAACTCGTGCTCAGACGCCATCCCTAACACTTCAGCAATGCGATTGAACCTTGATTTTTGCGTTCTGACGAGCACAATTCGTACCAGAAAACCGTTCCTGAAACTTCAACACCGCGGATCACTGTGGCTGTTGCGTCTTGACGAGCCAACATCGTGCTATGTGATCAATTCTAGGACCTCAACCTCACGAATCCTTATAATTGCTGTAAAGCAAACCGTTAAGTCGAATGTGGGCGTCGCTGAGGCGAGAGCAGCATTTTGGAAAACACCCGCCGTCCACCCTTACACCTAAACTCTTGAGGGGAATATGCGCGGCGCTGAGGCGAGTGCCACATTTTGAAAGCGATTCGCCCTCCATTTTCGAAACTGATGTACAATTCAAGCTTCAGGGCCATCACTGGCGAGGAAGTCTCAGCCGAAACGCCCGGCCCGCCCTACCTACATGTTTGTGGTCGCGACAGGGAGGAGTTTTCCCCACGCAGTGCTTGCATTCAGGGGTTCGCATTTCTTTTGTCAGGAAGTGGGCCTGCCCGTCGGTTTGGCGGCTATGTGGTCGCCCTCGCCGCCCCGTCACCTTCTCGTCGCCGCCCGTCTTCTGGGCCTGCCCGTCGGTCTGGCGGCCATGTGGTCGCTGTCGCCGTCGCCGCCCCGTCGCTCTGGGCCTGCCCGTCGGTCTAGCGGCTATGCGGTTGCCGTCGCCGCCTTGTCGCCGTCTACATTGCACCTTGTAGATTCTCCTTCCTAGAAGGAATATAGACTCTACCCCACCGGGTTTATCGCCCCCCCCTCCGGGACATTGTACATTACATTTGATTTTGCACCTTCGTTCATTTAGCAGGTGAACTCATGCCATCCCTCGGGGTCCCTTCATCGATCTCCTCGTCCCTGTCAAATAGTACGATGCGCGCACACACGTCTGTCAAAGCATTATAATTCCCAGTAGTCTCTTGCAACAGATGTGACAAAGTCCACACGCGCGCGTCGTCGCGCGCGCATGCCGAAATCCTTCCAGCCTCGTAGGGTTCGTACGGATTTCAAGCTCGAGGTTCCCGAACGCTTATAAAAGACACCAATGGGTTTCCAACATTGTTTTCAACAACATCTGCGCGCGTTTTTGCGAAGAATTCCTAGGACGGACATGCGATGTTCTCAGCATTTTCGTCAGGTGAAAGCACGGGGGCCTCTCGCGCGCGCATTCTGAAACCATTCGAACGCCCTTGCGCGCTTGCTGAGGGCGGGGGAGCACGATCCCTGTCAATAATACAATGTGGGCCCTTCGCGCGCGTCGGCCGCACGCGCATGCCGAAACTCTCCCAACAGTTTCATCTCCGACACGTGGAAGTCATCATCGTTATCGGCGTGACTAGACTTTGCGCCGTCATTGGCCTTGACGTCGTCAATGTCAGCATCGCCACCATCATTGCTACTATGATCATCGTATCCGCCGTTTTCGATATCACTTTGGTACCGCGCCCGCCCGAGTCACCGACCCGCACTGAAGTGTCCGCGCGCCGGGGCGGCCTGTGAGACTGTTGGGGGATTCGTGTCAGTCAGCGCCACCGCGGCCGCGTCGGTTGTGCCAAACTAGTTGCGCGCTCTAGTGCGGCTGCAAAGATGCGTACTCGCAATCGCCGCCGCATGGCTTTTGCAAACCAAGTGGCGGGTGGGTGGATGGGATGGTTGCGCGAGCAGTGGAGTTGTCAACTCACTGCGGACAATATGTAAATGCTGCACAACTTAGACTGCACCACGTATATTGCACCACACAGTATGCTAGAAAACACCGTTTGGGGTCCTCGCTGGCTTACATGTATTCGGACAGGGATGGGGGAGGAGCTGATGAAGGATCCCAGGAAGAGGAGGAGGAGGAAAAGGAGGAGGAGGAGGAGGAGGAGGAGGAGGAGGAAGAGGAGGAGGAGGAGGAGAAGGGAGGAGGAGGAGGGCGGAAGGGGAGGGGGAGGAGGAGAGGAGGAGGAGGAGAGGAGGGGAGGAGGAGGAAGGAGGAGGGAGGAGGAGAGGAGGAGGAGGAGGAAGGAGAGGAGGAGGAAGGAGGAGGAGGGGTTGGGGAAGGAGGTGCTGGGAGGTGCTGCTCAGGTGCTGCTCAAGGTGGCCTCAGCGCGTTCAGGGAGGCCCAGATGAGCGACGCCAAGAAACGGGGTCGTCTGCGCCGACGTTGGCGCGTAAGCTGCCCGCGTAAGGTCGCGCGTAAGCGCCCTCGTCTCCAATGTAGCGTGCCGCGGCGGCGGCCCGCGTAAGCCGCCGCGTAAGGTCGCTACGTCACTTCGCGTAAGACCCGTTTTTGATCGTCGCTCAGATGGTCTTCAGAGCGCCTTTCGCGAGGCCCAGATGGCCCTGGAGGGCTCAGAATGACATGACGAACGGGGGGCACTTGGGACATGAGCACCTCTGGCAACCTCCGAAATCGAAGAAACACAAGTTGCACATCCATGCGCTTTTGGAGGGCCGCGCGGATTTCTTGGGTCCGCACTGGACCACCCCTGTTGCGGCGCCTCCAGAGCCGCCCCTGGCGCCCTCCGCGCACCAGGGGAGGGGGGCTCAGCGCCAGCCCAAGAAACCCGCACGGACCCCCGACGGCTCATGCCTCGGCGGATGCATTTTTTCATGGTTTGCAGCGACAGTCAGGAAAACACTTATCGGGTTGGGAGGATGGGATTGGGAGAAACGAGGATATCCTTACCCGTAGTTGGCCGAAGGTATCGTTCATACCCTTCATCCTCATCTCTTCATGCTCCCATGCTCTTCCTACCAACACGGTAATTGTTCTCTGGATGCTATTGCTCATGCCCTTCATCCTCCCAACCCCTTTCTTCACCACCCACCAAACCACCCCATCCCAACCCGAAGGCCTCAATTTGCCCTCCATTTCAAGTGGCGTGGGGGTCGGGGAACATGGACAAAAAACACATGGAACCCGTACCCCCCCCAGGGTCAAACTCGGGTCTCCGGGTTGGGCTCTGGGGTGGTCTGGTGGGTAGCCACTCCTCCCGACACGACCGCTGCCCTCCTCGCACCAGGAGTTCGACCTGGACGGGGACGGCAAGCTCTGCGAGGAGGAGCTCGCCGCGCTCGTCGGCGTCTGAGGCCTCCGGGGGCCCTCGGGCGGCCAGGGCGCGGCGGCCGGCCGCGGGCCGCGCTCCTCGGGGCGCCCGCCTCGCGCCCGCGCGGCGCCCCGCCCCGAGGGCATCATCGGCCTTCTGAGGGCGCGGGCGGCGGCAGGCGCCGCGCGCGGGCGCTCGCCGCGCAACCTCGGGCCCCCGCGGGGCGCCCCGAGGGCCCCGCCGGCGAGCGGGCGACGACGCGGAGCGGGTCCGACCGCGCCGGGCGTGCGCGCGTCAGCCTCGAAGCAGAAGAAGACACTTACCAGCCTCGAACGTATCCCTATCCCTAAGATTGACACGCCAGAAGGCGATGACAATCTTAGGGATTCGCCCGCAAAAAATAAGGGAATCCCTAAGATTGGCATCGTGATAGGGAGGTGCCCAGCATAGGAATAGGGATATGTTCCAGGCTGGTAAGACACGCCGTACACATAAAAACATGAGCTGTGGGCGGTTCGCGCGGATTTCTCGGAGCCGCGCTGTGCCCCTCCCCCTTCCCCCGGCGGCGCCCCTGGCGCCGCCCCTGGCGCGCTCCGCACGCCGGGGGAGGGGGGGGTCCAGCGCAGGTCCAAGCAGTCCGCGCGCAGCGCCAACAACTTCTGTTGATGGCGTTTTTGCTTCTTCTGCTACGGCTGCCCGCGCGAGGTCGCGCGTGAGCGCCCTCGCTCACGGCGCGGCGTGCCGTGCCCGGCGGCCCCGCGCAAGCCGCGGCGCAGGGCCGCGCCGTGCCACTCTCGCGGGCAAGGCCCGTCCTTCTCCGTCGCCCGCGTGGCGGGGGCGGCCGCCGAATTCGGTGCACCTCCTCGGAGGGGGGGGGCCAGCCGAGACCATCCGGTGCAGAAGCCCTGGGAGCTCTGCGCGGACTTTGCTGGCTCTTTGCCGGCGGCGCCCTGGCGGCGCCCGGATCCCAAGAAGTCCGGGCGGGCCTCCAGCAGTCCACAGTCAGGCAGCTGATTGAGAAGCCTCCCCCCGAAGGGCTGGGCCAGCGTTTGTTTCTCAGCCAGCTTCTTGAGCTTCTTGAGCTCCATCGCCCCTCCGGCATTAGCACGAAGACTTGACCCAAGTTTGTCTCAAGAAACTTCCCGAATGCTGGCCCGGGTTTCTTAACTGATGATTTTCGTGAGCTCCTTCGCCCTTCCACCGTTCACGCGAAGACTTGGCCCATGCTTGTCTTAAGCAACTCCCTGAAAGCTGGCCTGGGTTTCTTGAACGATGGTGTTCTGGATCACGCTTTCGGCTGTATTTTCATGCAGTCTTGCGCTCTTTCAGACAAGGGTGGCTGGCCTGCCTGGCCCAAGTCGGCTCAAACAATCGGCCCCCCCACCTCCTCCTTCTCCTTCTCCTCCTCCTCCTCCTCCTCCTGGAGGCTCCTCGGCCGCCAGGAGGCCCCAGAGAAGGACGAACAACGCCAGGGGTGGCCGTCGTTGTCTGGGCTGGCTTCGGACGGGGCTGGGACTGAGTCGGGCCTGCCTCTCTACAGGAGGAGCATCCAAAAATAGTCAAGAGATAGTCAGGGGACGATTTTTGAAATTATTTTTGATATTTTGCTGATTTTGGTTTCGGTTTTTTGTCGCCCAGAATCCGCCTGTAGTGGGACATGTCCGGCCTAAGGTTAGGACGAGGATAAATCCGTTCCAGAGCGGTCCAGAACGCTCGCAGAGCGTTCCGGAACGCTCTGAGAAGACCGCGGCGCCCGACATCCTCCAGGGCCGCCGGATCTCAGAGATTCCCGATTGACCCTCACCGGATTTTGTCCTCGTCCTGGCTTCGTCTTCTCGCTGTCTTGGCTGGCTCTCCCTCGAGTCTTGGTCGCGGCATGCAGCGGGGGCGATCGCACGGAAGGTGGACGGGTGCAGCGCCGTGACCCTGCTGGAGTTTAATTAGTGTGAGCGTGAGAGGCGCCGGCGTCACTCGGGTCTTCCTCTGATCTTTCCTCCGCCTCCCTGGCTCTCCCTGCTGCCCCCCGCTCCCTCCTCCTGCCTCCTCCCCTCCTCCTGCCTCCTCCCCTCCTCCTGCTCCTGCTTCTCCTCTTCCTCCGCCTCCTTCGCCTCCCCCTTCGTCGTCGCCGTCGTCGTCGTCGCCGTCGTCGTCATCGTCGTCGTCGTTGTCGTCGTCGTCGTCGTCGTCGTCGTCGTCTTCCTGCGGCTGCCTCTGTCCTCAGACACCCGATGTCGTGAGTTTTTTCGCCGCGGGCCGCACCAGAAGTCCCGAGCCTTTCCCCAGGGCCGGCTTTTCGTCCTGGGCCGTTACTTGACTGTCCTGGGTCCTTGGGAATACCTCCAGGGGCAGACGAAGAGACACGCCCGCCGTGTTTTTTTCTGAAGACGTCGGAGGTCTGGGTCCTCCACGCGTCCGCGCCCGCGAGGCTGCTGATGGAGCACCTCACCACCCGCATCATAATAATCATCCTCATCATCATGGTCCTCCTCCTCCTCCGCCCTTTTCGTCGTCATCGTCGTCGTCGCCTTCGTCGCGCCCGCGCCCGCGAGGCTGCTGATGGAGCACCTCGCCACTCGCATCATCAAAATCATCCTTCTCTTCCTGCTCCTCCTCGTCATCCTTATCATCATCCTCCTCCTCCTCCTCCTCGTCGTCGTCGTCGTCGTCGCGCCCGCGCCCGCGAGGCTGCTGATGGAGCACCTCGAGGACTGGCACGACATCCTGCAGGTCTCCGTGGGCCCCGAGGGGCTGCCGGTGGCCCTCTCGTACCGGGTGCGCCACACGCTCGGCCTGTCCCTCTTCGACCACACCCAGGTGGCATGGGCTGATGATGCTGCTGCTGATGATGACGACGAGTAACGATGCTGATGACGACGATGATGATGATGAGGCTGATCATGATGCTGATGATGAGGCCGATGATGCTGGTGATGATGATGACGATGATGATGATGATGATGATGATGATGATGATGATGATGATGATGATGATGATGTTGATGCTGGCGGAGGCGGCGATTGCCATGCTGTTCCTTCTGATCTAAGTCTTGCTGGCGCTGGTTTCCCAAGCGCGACGACGAGGACGACGACGATGATGATGCTGAGGATGATGCGGTTTATGCTGATGATGCTGCTGATGATGATGAGGATGAAGCTAGCTGTGATGATGTAGATGCTGCTGCCGATGATGATGATGATGATGATGATGATGATGATGATGATGATGATGATGATGATGGTGGTGGTGGTGATGATGATGATGATGCTGATGCTGATGCTGATGCTGACGATGATGATGCTGCTGTGGAGACGGCGATGACCGTGCTGCTGATGATGTAAGGTTTGCTGGCGCTGGATTTTCCAGCGCGACGACGGCGATGAGGACGACGACGATGATGATGATGATGAGGAGGATGATACGGATTAGGATTATGATGATGATGAGTGCCATGACGATGAGGATGGTAATGATGCTGATGTGGATGTGGATGATACTGATGGTGATGATAATGACGATAATGATTATATTGGTGATGATGATGCTGTTGACGATGATGATGCTGCTGATGATGATGATGATGAGGATGCTGATGGTGATGGTGATGCAGATGCTCATGCTGATGCTCATGCTGATTAAGCTGATAACGATGATGATGCTGCTGATGCTGATGATGACGATGCTGATGATAACTGTGATGATGTTGATGATGCTGATACCGATGCCCACTATGCTGTCGATGCTGATGATGGTGATGATGATGCTCATGATGCTGATGATGCTGCTATTGTGGAGACGGTGGTGACCATGCTGCTGCTGATGTTAGTCTTGCTGGCGCTGGTTTCTCCGGCGCGACGACGACGATGAAGTCGATGACGGTGAGGGCGATGCTCGATGACGATGAAGAGAAGGATAAGGATTATGTTCATGATGATAATGATCATGATGATGAGGATGATGATGAAACGGATTAACACGATGAGGATGTGGATGTGGATGAGGATGGTGGTGATTACGGTGACGACGATGATGCTGATGATGATGATGATGATGATGATGATGATGGTGATGCTGATGCCGATGCTGACGCTGATGCTGATGATGCTGATAGTGATGTTGCTGCTGATGCTGATGATGCTGATGCTGATGATGCTGCTGATGATGATGTTGATTATTGTGATGCTGCTGTGGAGACGGCGATGACCATGCTGCTGCTGATGTAAGTCTTGCTGTCGCTGGTTTTTCAGCGCGACGACGATGCGGTCGTTGCCGATGATGACGAAGATGATGATGACGAGGAGGAGGATAAGGATTATCATTCTAATGCTGACGATGACCATGATGATGAGGATGACGATGGTACTGATGTGGATGTTGATGAGGATGATGGTGATGCTGGCAACGATGCTGATGCTGATGATGATAAAGATGGTGATGGTGATGATGCTGATGATCATGTTGATGTTGGTGATGATGACAACAACGATGATGCTGCTGAGGATGATGCCGATGCTGATGCTGATGCTGATGATGCTGCTAATGATGCTGATGCTGAGGTGACGATGATGATGATGATGACTATTATGATGATGATGCTGATGATGATGCTCAGTATGATGATGATGATGATGATGATGATGATGATGATGATGATGATGATGCTCTGCTGACGGCGATGACGATGCTGCTGCTGATGTAAGTTTTGCTGGCGCTGGTTTCTCCAGCCCGACGACGACGATGAGGACGACGCCGATGATGACGATGACGATGAGGAGGAGGGGGAGGAGGAGGAGGAGGATGAGGAGTATGATTGTGATGATGACCATGATCATGGGGATGATGATGATGCTGATGATGATGATGATGATGATGATGATGATGCTAATGTGGATGTGGATGAGGATGATGGTGATGATGAGGATGATGATGACGCCGCCCACGGTGATGCTGATGACGATGATGATGATGCTGTTGTTGGTGATGCTGATGCAGATCATGGTGATGCGGACGCTGATGCTGATGCTGATGCTGATGATGCTGATACTGATGATACGTATGCTGATGCTGATGAAGATCATGATGATGATGAGCAACTGCATCCTTCCGATCTAGAACCTGGCATACCGCAAGGACCTACATGCCATGCTCGAGCAGTTACTTCACCCGGACAATCCGGCTTTGGACAGAGTTCTCGAGGTGTGGCCCCCGGTCAGCGTGGCCCGCGATGGGGGACCTCGACGTTGCCAAAGTCATCCTGCGCGACGCGTCCGCGCGCAATGCGGTCGAGCCAGTGCTGGTCGCGAGATCACACCGGTGGAGCCGGTGCAGGGCGATGATGCGATAAGAGCGATCAGGTAACAAGTGGACCCGGCGAAAGAGACGCGGGACGTTGACATCACTAAGGGGATGCACTCACATGTTGCGCTGGCTCGTCAACCCAAAGTTTTCAACAGTCGATGATTATGGGCGCTGGTCTACGCGACAACGAGGTCTTTCTTGAACCAGAAGATTCTGGACCTCCTGACATAGAAGAGCCAAACGATAACGAGGAGGAAAACGACTCATCGGGGCAACCCAATGCAGTTTTCGTATTGGCACAAGGCATCGCGAATTTTGTCGGGGACATTTCCGCTGTCATCGCCCGTCAGGCTGCCCCTCCGTGGAGGCAGAAGTCTCGAAGCTTGAGCGCGAAGAGAGGCCGTGCAAAGACTGGTCCAGCATTCAGGGGCCGAAATGCAGCGGGGCAGCTCGCGGCTGAACGTGCCGGCCGATCTGATCGCTAGGAAAGCACGCAGGTGGGGCGATGCTGCCCATCTCCCTGCTCATCAACTACCAGGGGCCGTTGCGGCTGTTCAGGCTTTCAGAGTGAAGCAGCGCCTAGACACGCAGTGTCCATGGTGCGAGGTCGCGCGGCCTTCGGACCGCGAGTCGCGTGGCACGATGTGCCCGAGTCGTTTGGCCCCGCGTCGCGAGGACCTCTCAGGGCATCAGTTCGATCCTCAGCTGGTTCGAGCTGCTCTCGAGCAGAATGCTCCCGACTTCCTTGTCCTCGCTGCTGGCGAGCGCATCGCATGCCGTGGAGACCGAAGTCCATGGTGCTCGGCTCTAGCCGAGAGGCGTGCGATCGCCCGTGAGGTTGAGGACAAGAATAAGGAGACTGGCCGTCTGTTCACTTCGATGTGCGATCGTTTGGGTAATGACCAACAGTGGCAGGACTTCCAGAAGCTCCACACCTGCGGTACGTCCTACCGCGCATCCGAAAAGACGCGGGGCGGGAGTGCCGTGAATGGATCGATCCAGACGGTGCTCGGGAGATCGATCCTGGTTCGCCTGACTGGCATGGTGGCTCCAACTCCTGGGCTATCGAACCTATGCGTATCAATGTGGAGACACGTATTTCCCGCGGCCACATCGCGCGCATCCCGAAGGGGCGTGTCGTAAGCAAGCGTGCTCCGTAAAATGACGAATTGGATCTCTGGCGACATTCTCGTCGACGCAGAGATCGATCCAAACGCTGCGGGGCAGCCCGCTGCCGGTCGTCCGCTCAGCGTGGGCTTGCAGCCTCCGCTGGCCCGGCAGAGGACTGGCGAGCGACTCCATGGGCAGCAAGCAGCTGCTGCGGAATCCGGGGGGGGGGGCAGCGCCGCGCGCCGCGCCGCCTTCCAGGCGGGCGCTGTCGGTGCTATCTGGCGGCTCTTCGGGGCCCGCATCAGTGCAGCTCGCTGCTTCGCATCGGCCACTGGCTGGCCCTCCTCCGACGGCGAGGAGCAGGTCCGGCAAAACCGAGAGAAACCTCAGACCCCCCGTGGAAGTGCGGGCGGTCGGCAGCAGAGCGCTAGGGCGGTCGTCCTCCGCGCCGGCTGCGACGCGCCATGGAGTCTGTCTACGGTGAGCCGTCTGTGTCAGCTCCGGGCGGGGGGCGTCGTTCCCAAGCCCGCGGATCGAACTTGCGTCCGTCGGTTCCGGGGCGAGGGCCCTGATGCCAGCCTGGCGGAATGCGCGCCGAGTCCGCTGCGCCCGCCCCTCGACCGGCAGTCCCAGCTTACAAGGCAGGTCTTCTTGGCCGGGGGGCGTGCGCGGGAGACCCGCAGGCCGCCCTGCAGAGGGGCGAGCAGTTGGGGATGCGACTTGTACGATGGCCAGAGATTGTAGAACTCGCGACAGGGTCACCTGTCGCTCGGCCCTCTATCCTACTTGTCCCGTGCCTCTCGCACTTTTCTTTTTCTTTTCCTTCCGCGTGTTGGCCGATTGTCATCGACTTTTACCATCCACGTGGTCATGGGCTTCGTGTCCGTGCGCGCTTTAGAGCGCGACTTCCACTCGCGTTTCAACGTCCGCTGGAGGTGAACGGCGCGACTGGAGGAAGTGCGCCACGAACTCTCCGCGAAGCTTCTGAAGCGGAACTTTGGAAGGGGGCTTGGCGTCTTTCTGCGTTTCCCCCGGTCCCGAACACTTTGCGCTTTTTGATGTTTGGTCCCCGGGTGTTCGCCGTCCTCCATTTCTTGGGTGGGGTCCCAGCGCGGGATCGAAACCCGCAGGTTTTTGGCTGTGAGTTCTTGGGCGGGATGTATTTCGTCCCCCGCAGTCGGCGCGCTCTACTTTGACCAGGGTGCCCGCCCGGCTTCGGGGGGTCCTCGTTCCGTCTTGCCCCCCCCCTTTCCTGGGCACGCACTGGTGGGCAAGTGCTGGTGGGCGACTGTCCCAGCAGATGCCCGTCCCCCTTTCCCCCTCCTCCTCCTCCTCCTCCTCCTCATCATCCTCCTCCTAGTCACGTGGGTTTAGCCGGGGGTGGGCCGTGGCCGCGCTGCCCGCGGGCGCGACATGGCCAGCGCGCCCTGGGGCCGACGTGGGCCCCCACCCCCCGCCGCCCGCGCCCCGCCATGGGCGCTGGCGGGAACGACGCGCTGCGCCTGCTGACGGCGACGCGCGCTGGCTGGATCATCGCGCTGTTCGTGCGAAAAGGAATGCGCGTGGTCGTCTGGAACCCGCTGAGCCTCGCGGACCGCGACAGAGAACTGGGGATTGCCAGCGGGTGCAACTCGGCCGACGCCAACATCCTGATCGGCGCGCAGCGCCAGAGCAGCACAGAGACACCCTACACGCTAGAGGTCCTGCCCCGCTTTCGCGCGGTACATTCAGGCTGGGGCAAGAATGCGCGCCTCAGCAACAAGTCCTGCGGCACCGCAGTCTTCCTCAACAAGGCCGCGATCAGGACGAAGCAGATCATGCGGATATGGACGCCCCCGATGGCAATGCACGGAAGAGTGCGACCCCCCCGACTGTGTAGCAAGACCTATGACATCACGCTCTTCGGCTTGTACTTCTGCCCGCGGAGCCGAGACGGACGAGAACAGCATCTCATAGAGAACGCCACCAACGCGATCGACGGCTTTGTGCCATCACTGCTTGCCTCGCTCACTGGACTAACGGTTCCGATCACCGGCGTGGATGGAAGTGACGGCGTCGGCATAGTGAACGCAGCAACGGGACCGCAGCGTGGGCCCCTACGCCAGATAGCTGGAACATCACGCGGGGGGCCAAACTGAGGAATTCAGCGGAGAGCAGCGCCATGGTTTTCATGGGCACTTTCTGTGGATCCAGCTTCTACGGCGCGGCCTACAACGGAAAGCAGCACGTGTCACGGTTCGACCGCATCATGATACCCGGCATCATGAGGGGGCGGGCCACCAAGTTCGGCCAGGCGTAACGCTCGACCCGAAGACTGCAAGCTATTCCTGACGCGCGGGAAAGGGACCACATGGCCTTCATGGTATACATTAACGTGGACCTCGACTATAAGGAGGGCGCGCCGAAAATGTGATGGAACTTCGTGGAGATGGCCGAGGCCCTGAGAAACGAGCAGAAGCCCACATCGCTCCGCGAGCTGATCGAGCGCGAGATCGGCAACTGCATCACTGGGGCGGGCTCGACGACACGCATGACATGCTGGCTGCGTGAGGCGCGCTGGAAGGGACATGGAAGGACCTTGTGCAGGTAGTGCAACAAGCAGGACAGGACATGTTCAAGGCGACGCGGAAGGCCATGCCGCAAGAGTATCAAACCTCGCTGCAGAGCGAGTGCGACTACTACGACGGCGGGGAGAAGCACGGGAAGCTATGACGGACAAGCCTGAGTCAGGACTTCGCCTCCATCAGATCTCGAGTCGATGCAAGAGGATGCTGAAGCGACTACGCGAACAGCGAGAACAGCAGCTTGGCGATGAACTCGAGAAAGCACATCGTCGCGGACAAGCTCAAGAGGAATGGCGTATTTGCAGGTTGAGGAGGTATCGGACCCGAACGACGCAAATTCAAGATGATTGCAGCTTGTGCCCCGACCGCGGACCAGTGGGAAACCGACATGGCGAAGCCTGCGAAGGAGGGGGGCATGGGCGCTCACGAGATCAGCGAGGACGACTTCATCTACAACGCCAGCGAACACGACCAAGCGGGACGACCGTCGTATCAGGACTTCGAGGAGGGTGCGGAGGACTACCAGCGAAACTGCAAGGTCCTCCGACGAAAGAAACGACGACGGGCGCCAGTGCCGTGGTCAGTGCCAGTGGAGATCTGGTCCATTTTCCTGTCAACTAGGCCTGCCGCGACGGAGCGCACCGCTGGTCTCGGAGCTGGAGAGCCCCTTTCAAGACCTCCCACACTTTCGACACTGGCTGATCGGAGTACTGGCGCGAGTGCGGCAACACCAGCGGCTGGTCGCGTACTGGGACATGTCCCAGACGTGCCAAGTTTGCAAGCATGACTAGAAGGAGGGCACCAAGTCGATGCGCTTGTTCCACGGCCTCTGCTCCTTCGGAAAGCTCTGGGTGAAGACGTCGCAACGGAGAGACCGAACAGTACCTGACCACGACTACGGCTACCTCCCCTCCAGATTGAGAGCGGGGGCGATACGCACGACGGCATGTCTCAGCTGGAGGGTGAGGAGCCATCGTATCTCGACGGTCGACACGAAGCACGGCATGCAGAACGCGTTCGCGTCCGTCCGCCACTGGTCCGCCACGTGCAGTTCGGTGGAGCAATTCGACGTCTGTATCGCGAACGCGACGCTGCCCTCCTTGTGGGGCGACACCGACATACCTGCTTTAGGATAGAGGCGGAGGGTGAGACTATCGTGATGGAGAATGAGGAAGACAACTGCGTGGGCGACGCCAGCGACGCCAACGTGTTCCAGGAGGCCCGCGCGGTGCCCGTCCGACACTGGCAGCAGCCCCCCCACGAGAAATACTCCAATGAGCTCATGGCCTGCGACCCGCTATCCGATGAACCCGTGGACCCCCCCCTCAGAGTCTACGCGGGCGACGTGAACAAGGCGCGCCGCGCAGTGGGCCCAACGCACGCGAACGACGTGATAGTGAACTCCGGCAAGCAGCTGGGCATTGCGCTAAGAGGGCCAGGAGTAGTACGAAGCCACTGCAAGAAGGCGGTCCTCCCCCACTCTGTGGGGCCAGGAGCGAACGCCTACAACAAGCAAGTCTTTACGGCACGACGACGCTCATTTACAACATCCCAGGTACGATCCCGCATTCCTTGGCACCATCTTCACCTGCAGCGATATTCTGGCCTGAAGTGGAAGCGAGGTGTGCGGCGGCACGACGAGGATGGTAGCGCGTGAAGAAGTTCTGGACGGAGTGCAAGCAGTGGAAGATCAAGAAGGTAGCTTTCAGGAGCGTGGTGCTCGGCGCCGCCGCCGCTGGGCTCGCGGGATTGGTCCTCAGCGAGGCCCAGACAGACACGCTAGATCGACAGCGCCTCAAGTCGGACGCGTACTACCTGATGGAGTGGCTGTGCGACTACAGGTCGATGGCGGAAGCGGCAGAGCACGTGAGGTTACGCGGGCACCGCCAACGTATCAGATATGGCTGCGGCTTGGAGTGGTGCCGATCGCAGTTGAACTACGAGTGCAATGGCCCAAGGAGTGGCAAGCGATCTCGAGCAGGCCTCATTGGCACAAACAGCAGCTGGCAGCAGTCTTCGGCGATCTGAAGCTCGAGATGGCGAAGGAGTCGGGGCTGTCTCTGATTGGCGAGGACTGCATGGGCCTGTTCGACGCCGAGAGCGACGCCAACGCAGCCTTCAACCTGCTCGGTGTCAGGCAGTCTTGCAGCGAGTGGCTCACGCGGCTGTGAGATACACCGCCACCGCCTACGCGACAGGTGCTGGAACGAGGGGGGCGAGCTGATGGCGACTTTGAGTGCGAGCTGCGCAACGCGGCCGGCTTGACGTGCCAAAGGCGCCCCATCACAAAGAGGGCCCTGCTCGTGCATCGGCGTCAGGCGGGGGGGGGGGGGCGCGGAGGGCAGAGGGTGGCAGAAGGGATCATGCTATCGAACAAATGCGTGAGGACAGAAGCAGGACAACCGAGTGGTCGGGCAAGAGGATCGACAAACCTGGAGAAGATGGGCGTCGAGCAGCTCCACGCCCTCGCTCCCGTCCTGACCAAGATGGCGCTCAGCTTGGCGATGAGGACGAGGCAAGTGGAGGCCGTCATCCTGGTGGCCCTCATCATCGGCGCGAACACGGAGCCGGCGGCGCGGGCGATGGCCCACGTGAAGGCGTGGATCGAGACGGCACAGGAGATGCGCCAGCGCGACAAAGTGGACGACGCCGAGAGCAAGCTCAACGCGACCAGCTGCGCCGCCCTGGTTGGCACTACCGAGGGGTGCGACTCACAGGGCAACATGGTGGGCGCAAGAGACAAGAAGGACCTGGACGCACTGAAGGAGTGGATCAAGGATATGCCTGCAAAGACGGCGGCCGAGAGCTTCACGCTGGTGAAAGTACAGGCCGCATTCAAGGAGACGGAAGCGAGGACCACAATCGTGAAGCACGACAAGCTGCTGCTATTGTATGCCTGCTTGGAGCAGCTCGGAGCCACCATCATGAACGGAGTTGCGCCCATGTCCCACCTGGAGAAGATCTTCAGCACCTGCTTGGGTGATGGGTACTAGAGGGAGCAGGCGGCGTAACAGGCCGCGAGGAGACTGGTGCGTATGACGGTGCATGTCGTGCGGGTGGCGGCGACCATTCAGAGGGGGATGCTCCAGCACCCAGTGACCGCGGACGTGCACAACGCGAAGTTGCTGGCGAGAGTGAGGCGGGTCCGAGGCCGCTGCCGCGCCCTGCTGCATCGAGCCCGTTTGGCTCCCAGGCGAACCCTCTTTCTCTTCCTTGCGAGGCTCCCCCTCCTCCGAACCCGCCTGGAAGCCGTCGAGCCCGTCGCGCCCCTGCTACCAGGGAAATCCAGGGGCATTTTCGGAATCTTGGGCGGGGGGCGCGCTCTGCAATTCAATCGCCAATCTCGCCGCCCCTCCCCTTAAGAGGTCCAAGGTGCAGAAGTAGGGACCCGACCCTCCTGCTGCTGCCTGCGTACCGCGCTCGCCGCTTGTCCTCCTCCTCCCCCCTCGTGCTCCTCTCTTGCTCCTCGCTGTGCGTGCTGCGGTGCGGCCCTCGGCTCGCTGGCCCTCTCCTCTGCCCCCTCTGCCTGCGGGGGCCGTGGTCGGTTGGTTGGGGTTTGAAACCCAGGGAACCAGTTGGGTGGGCTTGAGGCCCAACATCTCGGCTTTAGGCCGTTCCTAGGGTGACTTCTGCTCTGTGTCGAAGACTCGCCCCAGAGGTGTTCGTAGTAGTCCTCCTCGTCCTCGTCCTTCTCCTCCTCCGCCTCTTCCTCTTTTTCCTTCTCCTCCTCCCCCCCCTCAGTCCTTTCCCTCGCCCGGAGGAGTGAGGGGCGAGGGCTCGCCCCGCACGGCTTACTTGGCTCGCGATTGGCTGCGAAGGAGGTGGCCCGCGCGTGCGCTGCCCCTCTTGCGTCTGCGTCGTTGCCCGCCGCATGGCAAACGGGAGCCTTCAGCCTTAGGGTCGGTGCGATAGGGTCGGTGCGATAGGGCAGCCTGCCTGTCGCTACCGCCGCCGCGGCTGGATTCCATCTCTTCACTACGCCGCGGCTGGATTCCATTTTTTAATGTTGGAACCTGGCCGCCTTCAACGGCGAGACAGGGCCGTCAGCTCAAGGGCGATAGCTTCGGCCCGAAGGCTGAAGCAACTCCGATCTCGCGTGGAGAGAGGGTCGTCGCCCTCGAGTTGCGAGTCCTGCAAGCAGCGCGGCCAGTGCGGCGTGCCAGAACCGAGCCAGTGCGTTCGTTGCGAGCTTCCCTGCGCCAGCGCTGGAGTTTCGAAGTTCACCGAAAGCGAGCTGGCGCCTCCGAAACGAAGTATTTGCTGGCAACGCTGGCGACGCGAAGCGTGCCTGGGAGCGAACCTGCGCGCTCCGAGTGGCTGGGCGGCGCCGGCAACTCGACGCGCCCGTGTGGCGAGCCAGCACGCTCGAAACGACCATCCGTGCATCGACGCAGGCAGCGCGATGTGCTACGTACATATTCGGGCCAGCGCGCTCCAGCGCCTCTTTGGGCTTTTTCCGCGGCCTCCCCAGCCTTGTCCCCCTCCCTTCCCTTCCAGGGGCTTGCAAATCTTTGAGCGGGGGGGGTCGGAGGGGGAAAGCCTGGGGAGCAACACAGTGCAGGAATCACGTGGCACGCGCGGGGGTCCACGGGGACAAATTTCTGGGGGGGCGTCCTCCTCCTGCTTGTCTAGCCCTCCTCCTCCTCCTCCTCCTCCTCCACCTAGTCTTTTGTTCCTCCTCCTCCTTTTCCTCCTCCTTCTCCTTCTCCTCCTCCTCCTCCTCAGCCGCTTTTCCCTCCCCCCCAGCTCCTCCTCCTCCTCCTCCTCCTCCTCCTCCTCTTTCTCCCCTCTTTCCTCCCTTCCTCCTCCTACTCCTCCTTCCTTTGTCACCTCCTTTTTTTCCGTCCTCCTCCTCCTCCTCCCTCCTCCTCCTCCTCCTCCTCCTCCTCCTCCTCCTCCTCCTCCCCCTCCCCCTCCCCCTCCCCCTTTTCCTCCTCGTCTTGTCCCCTCCCCGCGTCTTCCGTCCCCCCCGTCCCCCTCCGCTTCTGCCCCCCTTGCCCCTCCCGAGGTCCACCTCTCCGAGTCGAGCGCCGCCGACGGGCCTCGCGTGCCCCCGCGGGTGCAGACGCCCGACGGCAAGGGCGGCCCGGGCGAACAGCCGGCGCCCTCGTTCCTGGGCAAGTATTGGTGGGCCACTGCCC